CCTTGCATATGAAGAATAATTTTTAAACCAGTGCTTCTGCACTGCTTAATGAAATTTTCTGCAGAAAGAAACCTAACAAATCAAATAATGGAAACACTTCCACAATATAGCACAGTGATTCTTAATTTTTTCTTCTAGGACAAGGGGTAATGGGCTCAGACTTAAAACAGGGGAGATTTAGGTTGGACATAAGGAAGAAATTCTTCATTGTGAGAGTGCTGAGGCGTTACAGTGGGCTGCCGAGGAAGGCTGCGAATGCTCCATCCCTGGCAGTGTTCAAGGCCAGGTTGGACAGGGCCTTCAGCAACCTGGTCTAGGGGGAGGTGTCCCTGCCAGTGGCAGGGGGGTTGGAACTAGATGATCTTAAGGTCTTCTCCAACCTTAACCCTTTGATTATTCTATGATTCTCTGATTCTACAATCTACTGATTCCACAGTAGAACAACTTGACTCTTAAAGCCCCCTTTTATTAAATAAAAAAATTTTAAAAAGAGGTTACTGATTGTTAGGAAACCTCTTAAGGACTCCTGGCAAAAAAAAAATGATGTCTGGACAAGGTGAAGGTCTCAGAATAATCTTACTGATTTACAGTAATAAGAACATGTTGTGTCTCTACTGTGTACAGAAGAAATATACCTTAGTATTTTTAACTCGAAATTTTGCATGGCTATGTGATTCTGAATAACAAGAATAACAGTAAAACTGAAACTGCCCCTTGGGTACAGGGAAACTGCACAATTATTTAAGAAATTTGTGAAGGCAGCAAGAATGACAAAATAGATTGATTTCAAGAGTTTCACAATGTGGAGTCCAGTTCCTACTTACAGTACATAATTAAACCAGTGTAATATAACAGTGCATACTGCATGTCTTCAGTTACTATGTTCCAGGGAAAACTGAAGAATAATTCCAGACAAAAACTGAGTATCATGGGAAAAAGACAGTCACCCCCCTGAATTCAGGTCAATTTCATTTTGCTCTTTCAGGAACTGTGGATAATCATTGTTATCTGATCAGTCCAACAGTAACACTATTAAAACAATAATTTTGCATCTTGTAGCTATTTCATCTCTTTAACATGGAATTTCAAAGCATGATCACCCTGATGAACAGTAGATTACATGAATATGCAATCTTCAACAAAGTTATATCAGTTTTTTCACCCATGTCCATTGTATATATTATATCCTGCAACTTGAATTAAAATATTCATAGCTCACTGGAGAGAAATGAAAAATTGATTAACTTGGGTATTTGGGGAAAATACATAATTAGAAAAATGGGAATGATGCAATCTGGCCCGAGAATGCATTGCTGAGAGGTGAAGGTAAGGAGGAGGTGCCCAAAGCATAACTCCCATGACACACTGTGGTGGCACTTCTAACTGCAATGTTTGCTTTCTCAGACAGGAGGATTCTAGTAATAGCAAAACAAACAAACAAACAAACAAAAACAGAAGGAAAATGCAGATTAGGAGTAGGAGGGAAGATTCTACCCTTGTGGCTGTTTTTATCCAAAATTGCTTTCCCTAAACAGTTTCCCAAGAGTTTTATGTATAGATGAAAAGGTTCACATTTTTAGTGGTTTTAACTGTAGCTGCATACATGTTGTGTTTGCCTTATAATAATGGAAATATAGAATCTATTTTTTCATGAGAAGGGTTAGAGAATCTCAAAGTCCTGAAAGGGCTGTGCTTCAATGGAGAAAAACCAACCAACCAAACAAACAAAAAAAATCAAAAAACCAAAACAGAGGTCAAAAGAAGAACGGATACTTCAGATCAGTCTGGTAAGATGTCACTTTAAAATTCTCTGTGCTTTGAAAATAGTAATACCCTGGGGTACTGAGATGTTGTTGCCATTTGAAATATTAATGCATAAAGAAATAAAGATCTGCCATGAATATAGACCTCATGTGTACAGGCTACACAGAATGTCACTTTCACAGTTTTAAAACTCTGGAACTTTAAAACATAAATAAATAGCTCATTAGATGTCTAAGAAGTTTCTGCTGATTTGCAGCTGCTTATGAAGTGTGGCATAGATTTGCTGCATATTAAGAAGTATTTATGATTCAGATAATAATGTGTTTGGGTTTTTACTGCAGCAGTAAGCTCTTATTCACTTGACTCCTCAAGGTTTCCTTAAAGTGCACAACCTCAGAAATCTAAAAAGTAGAGTCACAGAACAGCTAAAGGAAATTGGGTTTAAAGCAGAGTGGTTGCTTAATGTTTTACTTGCTTAAGAATTATCCAGAATGATAAACATCATCTCCTTTTTTGATTTTGATTTTTTTTCCTGTTATTCTCTGCAGCACAGGTGATCTCCAAGACCTTCAGCAGTTGAATGCACCATCAATTTTTAAACATCATTGTCATGGCCAAACAATAAAAATCCCTAAACATATTTTAAGCTTAGAGAAAGAGATGTTGAAAACTCACAATGTCTTGGAAATTCAATCTGCAGCATCTGACTGTGCTTTATGCTTTAAATGTGTTTTAAATACCCTTCCTTGTCTGACCTGCTGCTTTGCTTAAGCTTTTATCTCTTGACCTGACATGACAGAAATTGATTTGAGACACCAGTTTCTGCCCAGTTTGTTAATTTAAACTGCTGATAGCCAAACTACTGTAGGTGCAAAGCAGCTTCATCACCACAACTAAATTTGAATTTGAGATTGCGAGTGAGCATCCTGAGCCAGTTTGCTGTGTGAAATTTTGTCTTGCTGACCACCTCTAGTTTCCATACTTCCTTGCCTCTTCCAGCTTCCATACTTCTGTAACTACTGCAACGTTTGCCAAAAAAATACAAAAATACACAAAAAATCTATTTAATGACAGGATTGGACAGCTTGATGACCTTTCATTCATGATTAACCTGGTTATTTCTGTTTCCAAGGCATAAGACTGCTAAATGGAACATGACTGTTCTTTATTACAGTCTTTAGTACCTTCTATTGCTGGATCATTAGCAGAATGGTTTTCTCCTTTTGGTGATTATGGCTTTTGTGTTTGGTGTCATCCATGTATTATGATGGTAGTTTTATGTTCCAATGGCAAATTAAATAAAGGTTCCTGTATCTGTTCATTCTTGAATCTGCCATTTGCCTGATTGTTTCATCATCTTCAGGTGCCTCACAGTTCTGAAGGGAGCTGATTTATAGTCCTGGACAGGTTGTTTAAGCCACATGTTGAGGGCAAGTAAAGACAAACTGAGTTTCCCAAGCTGACTGACACTAATGAACAGTTATAAAGGTTTTCTTTAGTTAAGGAGTAGTTAAAAAAGAGAGAGACAGATCCTCAAAGAGCAGGGTGGAGTGGGAGGTGGGTTTCTTAAAAAGCTTCTCTGGATCCCAATGCAAAATGTGATAAGAAGGTGTCTTGAGGAAGTTTAGGTGATTTAGGAAATTAATTGTTGAAAGGGTTCAAATTCCTAAAATGCAATTCTTAATGGAGCAGTAGAAGCTACAGATGCAGGGAAAAGTTGGGAAAAGTTAGAAAAGTTAAGTAAAGGAGCATCTGAGAAAGAGAAGAGAGTTCAGTTCTGTTGAGAAAAAAATGTAATTGTTGAAGCTCAGCTGTGCCTGATCCAGGGAACTTGAAGATAATATGTCAAGAACGTTCAAATTCATAAGAAAGCAGATATTTTTAACACTAAAGTTTCAGCCTTTTCATTTTCCAGAAAAAAAGGAGAAAGCACAGCAGTTATAAAAAAAAAGATTATGCCTATATCTTCTATACCTTCATCCTCTAGAAATCACTAATTACTAGTATCTCAGCATAAAGAAAAAAACCCCAACAATAATCATGTAATTTAATGGTAGAAAAATTGCAATTACTCTCTTCCTGAGAAAATAAAACTTCCTTCCAATAAATTCCAGTTATATAAGAATATGGGCAATTACCTATTGAAGAAATCTGTGACAGAGAGTAGGCACTAGAAAATATCTATGAGATATGATTCTCATTCATAGAGCTTTCTGAACTGCAGAACACCCACTGGGCAAAATCAGCTGCAGATTGGTCTTTCTATATCATGGAAATAATAGAAAATGGGACTAGAGGGGAGTGTGAGTGGATATCTAACCTCAGTGCTAAGGCAGATGAGTAATAGCTGAAAATTTCTGACAAACTAGCACAGCCCATACAATGTGATAAACGTGTTTTGGGGTCTTTGTCTGTTTGGTTGCTTCTGATTTATCTCTTAGTAGGACAGAAAAATGTGTTCCCAACTGTATGCAAAACTCTGTTCTTAAAACGGCCAACACCAGCGGAACACACTCATTTTCCTTTTGCATTTAATCATAAACCAAAACAAAATTCAAATTCAAATTTTGATGAGTCCAAAAGTTGATCCAGGGAAAAGGGAATCAAATTGATTAAACTTTTCTCACCAAGTGTTCCAGGATTTTGGATAAAAAAACCTGCGTTTTTTCTGTTTCTGCGGCACCTTTTCAGTCTCATGGACGGGAGCAGAGGGTATGGGAGGAAAGCAGCAGTCGTCACTGCCCTTTGCGTTTTAAAGGAAACTTTCTGCAGTGAAGAGCACATCCACGCCAACAAACTCTGCCATTCACGGAATGCGTTCCTGCTATGTGTGGCATGTGTATCTATCCTCAAATGTATTCACGCAGATCAAAATGCTCCGCATTGTAGTATCTGCATTCAACAGATGGAGCATTTTGTCCGTTATCTGAGTAAAAGACAGGAAAAAAAAAAAAAGGCAGTAAAAGCAGTAGCTTGATGGAGGCTGATGCGAGCGAGTCTTCAGCGTTACGTTTATACACTCAGACGTCAAAGATTACCCTGCCCGACCCTCCACTTGAGATCACTGCTGGTTTTTTTACGCCTCGGGAGCTGAGACGCAGAAGGCAAGAGAGCCGTGTGTGCGGAGGGCGTGCAATGGCGAAACAGGGGACCCCGCTCCCCCTCCCGCAGCAGTGCGCGCCCACTCCGCGCCCCCTGCGAGCTGCCTCCCGCCCCCCCGTGCCCTGCGTGTTTTCCGTGGTCTTGAGCTGTGGGTGCTGTTCACGAATTCTGCTCTTTGCTGGTCATTTAAGGAAAGGTATTTATTGTAAAAACCAACCGAGAAAGTGCATGTCAGGAGAATGTCGCTCAGGAGCGCTTGCTCTCTTGAAACCCTAGCTTCTGGCTTCTGGCAAGCTTTCTTACCAAGTAATAGTAAGTCTCGCCCTGCCAGGTATCAGTTCTCTTCTGCATCTATGAAAAATCTCTGCCAAGTGACTTTCCCGTTATCTTTCTCCATCTCTCCCTCACACAGCCTTCTCTATGTATTTTTTTCCCTGCTACTCGTGCCCGATGTAACCCCTCTGTCCATGCCTAGAGTTATACCATGCCCCATGGCACAGACTCCCCTGCCCACCCCCTGTTTAACACCCATGCCCATGCCCGCTGTGTCGTTCTCTCCCCGGTTTTGCCCTCGCTGCAGGGAAAGCTAAGACACATAGCAGACAAAGCGCATCAGACGGCGGCCGCACGAGGACCGCGGGCACAGCGCGCGTCAGGGGTCCCACCAGAGGCGGTAACTTTGTTTTTAATAATACTAATACTAATTATATTCTATTTCGGGGCTTTTCCAAATCAGAGGATAAGTTCCTTTCGGGAAACGCCGGTTCCAGCCGCCTCCCGCGGCGGTAGGTGAGGGAGTTCGCTGCGCTCCCAGCGGGGCTCCGCATGCGTCAGGCGGTGAGTGGCGTCGGCGCTAGCGGGAGCGGAGAGGCGGGGAAGGGGCAGCGGGAGAGATGGGGGCGGGGGGGCATGAGGGGTGTGGAGGAGGGAGGGCGCTTCATCAGGAGGCGATGTCGGCATCGCCGTGACATCACCTCGCGGCTTATATAGTTGGGGAAGGGTCTGGGTGCCCCGTCTGGTGCCTGCAGCCGCCCGCGAAAGCGTGTGCAGGGGGACGGGGAGCGGAGCTGCGCTGCTCTGTCTGTCTGTCTGTCGGTCGGTCGGTCGGTCTGTCGGTCTGTCTGTCTGTCTCTTTCTCTCTCTCCGTCTCTCCCCAGGATTTATGGACTTTACTTTCTAGAGTGCGGCGCGGCAAGGATGAGAACCCAGCTGGTGTGTGTCATGCTGCTGGCCTTGGCCTCCTGCAGCTTCTGCTCAGGTAAGCGCCCCCCATTGCCCTCCGAAGACCGCCCGGCCGGTGCGCACAGAGCCACTCCGCAGTCTCCCCAAGGACATGGGGAAGGCAGGTGAAGTCGGCTCGGGCTGCAGCGGTTGTGCCCTCTAGGCGCCACGGAGCTGGCCCTGGTAACCGGCTCTGGTCAGCACCGCCTTTTTATATACCTGTCATACTTTCTCCCTTCAGCTACACCATTCCTCCTCACAGTATCTGTACCATGGGTAGGCTAGACATGGGAAATATAAGTCAGTGTAGACCATCTGCTCGCTTATGTCGGTTCATTTGCGATTTATTGAATACCATGCATTTCCAAACTGCCCTAGAAATTATAATTTCAGCAACTCATATGAATAGCTGCCATAATCCAGTCCAACTATATGCGCACTTTAGTCAACTTCCAGAGACAGAAATACAGTTTTCGTATTCTGGGGAAAAAAGTGCTAGCAACTGATCTGAAATCATGACAAAAAATGATGACTCAGATGCAGATTACACAATAGGAAGGTTAATGTAAATGCCTTTATAATCTCAGAGCAATTGCTTTAGAAACCTAAAAAAAAAAAAAAAAGAGAACCATACATTAAAGCGCATTGCCTGCTCCTTTGGAAAATGACACAGCTAAGAGTGTGTCATTTATGTCCTGGCTTTACAACCAAAAGTAGGTATGGTGGAGATTAAACAGATGCACACACACAGATATGAAGCAGAATGGGCTTCAAAATCCCATTTTAAGTAACTTGCAATTTATTAATTCCACAAAATTTAAGGAGTAAATTTACAATACCTTAGGTTTTTCAGGTTCAGTGTTCAGGAGGACTCTAAATTCCTAATTCTCATATTAGATGAAAGTTTGAAATTTGTATTCCCCTGTAAAATAAAAGTGTATCACACATATTACCTACATTTTATCACAGCTTAAGCAATCATTCTGTATATTGTAGAGAACTATTGATTTTAGTGACAAGACTTAATATTTATTATTTTCTGCCCACATTTAAAGCTTTTTAAGCATATCTTTGACCAGTATTTTCAGTGAGGCAGTTTCGAATTCAGCTTTTTGTAGAACCTGAATGAAAGCCCACAAAAGTGAAGAAAAAAAAAAAAACAACAACAAAAAAAAACCCAAACAAAAAACAAAACAGGTGAAATTAAAATAGACTTATAAAAACACCCAGAAGCAAAATTGTACGTGTAACTGGCATAGTGGTTTATTTGCTTGAAAATGAAATTTTATATTCAAATAAGAAATGCCATAGAGAAGCTTGTGTGGAAGGGCCAAATCAATTTTGACAAATATGGACAGTTATGTCATAAAGAAGATGATAATACATTTTAATTTTCTTCTGAAGATGTTTGCCTTTAGGGGAAAGTGTGTAATTGTAAAATGTAACTATTCCTGTAGAACATATTAATAGAAGCTGTATTTGTTACCAATAACAAGTTAATCAAGAGGACATCAAACTGTGTCTTTCCCTCTAATATGAACAATAATATATAACCAGACTTTTTTACTTTTCTCTCTGAGAGTCTTAAGTCTGCTCTTTTTATGCCTTTACTCCTTATCTCTTTCACTCCTGAATTGCCTGAATGTCTTCCCTTCTCTTCCTCCAAGCTTTGCTTTATTCTTCACTCAAGGGATCTTGACCAGCCTCTTAATGTCTTCCAGAGTTCTTTTCTCAACCTAAATGTTTTTAAATACTTACCTACCACATCTGCAGCTCTCTTCCTACCTTGATGGTGTGTTGAATGTACCTTCCATCCTCTATGGAACTTGAAAAACCAGGTGCTAAGCAGACCAGTACTTTCATTGTCCTCAGCTGGTATGACCCATGAGATCACAAATCATGATGCTGTCACAGTATGACACCATTCACAGGAGCTGCTGCTACCACTAGTTGAAATTCAGCTGAGGTGACCTTGTGCTGCCAGCAGAACTTTGGCTAATGGTAAAGCAGTTAAGAGATTAGGTAATGCTGACAACCAATAGTGCTGAAAGGCATTAATGTGGAGATTATTTGCTAATAGCTTGCTCTAATACTGATCTACAAACCAGCCTTATTTAGTGTTTTCAATAACAACTTCAGTGTAAAAAGTGAATGAATATGGTGTGCTGGTAATGCAACGGTGAACAGGAGCATCACTACAGAGGAAGGTCAGCATAATGCCAAGAAGTTTTTGATGATTTAAATAATGAGGAGCAGTGCAACAGTAGAAAATGCAATAGTTTAGGGAGCAGTAAAAGTAACCTACTTAATTTTCCTTTGAACAGAAGCGAAAAATGTCTAAGGAGATAAAAGACCTTTTTGGTTTTTTTTAATGAGATACTAAATTTTTTCAGACATAAACAAAAAAGTAAAAAAATGTGTAAGAGAGCTACTTCCTGTAGCTAATGGTAAGAATTAAGGTAGTTAAGTACTGATGCTTCTGATCCAAGCTGTGTTATGCTTTGCTGTATTTAGCTCATAGCAGATACAGAGGAGGGCCACTCTGATGAGCTAGGGAATACAGTGCTATTACAAAAGAGGAGAACAAGTGAGGATTTAGTAGCCCTGTGCATAGCCATTCAGTGAGGTATTTATGGGTTTTCCAGGGAATGTTTTTTTCTAAAAGGCAGAATGATCTTGTATTTATTTGGTAATCACTGTGTAGGCACACCCTAAAAATCTGAGCTGAGAAAGGGCTGTGATTGCTCTCAAAAAATACATGAGTTGGGTAAATGCTACAATTAGAAAGACATCACTTATAGTGAAGGAAGTTATGTACAAACCATTAATAAATTTGTAATTAGAAATAAATTAGGCTTAAAATTAGAAGAAGGTGAATAATAACTGAAACTTTGGAAGAATTCCCCAAAGAAGAAACATCGTAGTGGTAAGATTGATCATGATTGGTTTTTAAGTGCAATATAATGGTTAGCTTTCTGTGCTATTAGAATGAAGCCATAGGCAGAATTTATCCAATGATTCTGTGGGCTTAAACAGGGGAAGTTCAGGTTAGGTATAAGAACTTGTTTACTGTGAGGGTGGTAAGGTACTGGAACAGGTTGCCCAAAGAAGTGAGAAATGCTCCATCCCTGGCAGTGTTCAAGACCAGGTTGGACAAAGCCTTGGGTGACATAGTCTAGGGTGAGGCATCCCTGCCCACGGTAGGGTGGGGTTGCAACTAGATGATCTTACGGTCCTTTCCAACCCTAACCATTCTATGATTCCATGACTTCTATGAATATGGAATAGATTATGATTTAGTCTGGTTTAAAGTATAAGTAAGTGTATTGTTTGGCTTTGGACTGCTGGTATTCCAGTAAAGCTAAAAGCCATGTAGAACTCTGTTTTGTCTGAAGCCTTAACTGATTTGTTTGTATATTATCTTTGCGTTGTGATTGTTTCTACATACTCAAGGACAAACCTTCCTTGTGATTCTCTACAGCACAAACTAGAAAAGTTTGTGGCTGTTTTTCTAAAACAATTTTAACCCTATTTGTTAAATCACAGGTCTTGCAAGTCTGCTGAGCTATTAAAAGTCAATTAAACTAGTAAAGAAAATCCAAAGTCAGAATACTTTTGGTGTATGCATGGTGAAAAGCTTGTATCACAAACTGATGAAGCTCAATTCCCTCATATCAGCAAACATATTTTTAATTTAATCAACAATAATTGAGACTAAATCCTGTACTGTAATCACAACTGCCATTCACTCAAAGACTTAGCTGCTACTTAAGTAAATATTATTTGAAAATAAATATCCAAAGTCTTCTAAGTAAATAGAGGTGACAAACAGCAATTATGAAACCCATACTGAGTTTTGAACGAAGAATATTGCAGCAGTTTTGTTTACTGAAAGGGCTGTACTGAAGAGAGATTACTGAATTGATTCATTCACTTCAATAAGCTTGATCATGCTTTAAAAAGATAGTAGCTCTTTTAGCATAGTGTCATTGTTACCTGAAGACTCCTCACAGTAGATCGCTCTGCTGTGTTTTTGTCTGTTTGTTCATTTGTTTGGGTTTTATTCAGTTGTTTTTCAAAACTAAGTGATATATCTAAATTCTGTATGCTAACTTGAAATGTTCGTGATTTATGATGAAATAATAAACATATGTTTCTGGTTTATTCCCAGATTCAGAAGAGGAAATGAAAGCGTTAGAAGCAGATTTATTGACCAATATGTACACATCAAAGGTAATTGTTTTTCCTGTGATGGGTAGAGAGCAAATGATTTTCATTACAAACACAGAAGTCTCTGCACAAAGTAATAACCTATGGTCTAGACCAAAAAGTTCAGTGCTAGACATTACTTTGGTCAAGATTTTCTCCAGTTCAAAGAAAATTTAAAGGTGTTGATGTGAGACACTAAAAGCGCTCCTTACTTGTAACACTGGTCCTTTCATTAAACTGTCAAAACTGTGTTATGTGCAGAGATGTAAATCTGTTGGAGGAAATGTGTTTCCAATAACATTATGTGTGATGAAAGCTAACTTAACCTTGCATCAAATCCGTAAGTGCTGTTTTTATGCAGAATTTTTCCTATATGCATATAAAACTAAGACAGTCATAATGCAAAACCTGTTAATACTTACGCTGATTTTGGTTTAAGAATTTAATCACAGTGTTAGCACAGGAACGGGGGGACCTGACTATGAAAATATATTAATCTGATAAATGGCATTTCCTTGACAAGTCCCCAGACATGTTATTTAATACAAACAGACAAAAATTCAGTTCCGATCTCTTATTGACAAGGTGAAACAGCAAGTGTTGCACATATCTATTGAACAGGCTGATAGACAAACACTTTCTTAACAGTGTTGTTTTCTGCGAACGATTGAAGATACATATAGTCTAATATTTATTCAGCAACATATTAAAGAACAAACACTGAAACCAGTGCCATGATCTTAAGTTTGTGTGCTTTATTCATTTGTTCTAATGGAATTCAAGTTAAATTCAAAGGAAAATAAAATGAGAAATGAAATTTTTTTCCCTGAAAATTTCGTAAGTCAATGGTTAGTTGAATGTTAAGAACAAAACCTGCCTTGAAGACTTCCATATTTACTGTATTTGCTTATATGTGAGCTTTTTCACAGGATTCTTTGAATAGACTAGAATAAGACTCTTAAGAGAATAATGAGGCGAGAAAACACATTGTTTTTATCTGGTCTGGCAGTTCCTAGGTTCCCATGTTCCTTACTGACATGATAATTAACCTTAGATGCTAAATAAACCTGTTTGCCACTTGCTCCTTTAAAGTACAGAAATATTAATAAATATTCTTTTCTTGAGACAAATATAAATTTAGAAGGCTGACAAAAGTAGTTCTTTCTCTGTGTGGCAAAGCGTAGTATGCCTTGGAGAAAACCCTACGGCTATTGGTATTTCTGTTACTGACTTCAGTAGAGCTGTGAACCTAACCTCCACTTCCATCTTTTCCTCTCAGCACAGAGCACAATCTCAGGTAACTAAAAATGCATAGAGTGCACCATCTGATAATGTAGTAGTGTTTGTGATAATATTCTTCTATGTTGTTTTACACTGTGTAGGTTGCTATTCAATCTTTTCGTGGTATATACTGTAAGTCACATGACACCTGAAGTTGACATATGCAGTAGGTGCATGGTGCAGACGTTGCTTTAATTCTACATTCTACTGCTTAAATCACCACCTAGAATTCATTAGTTTGTTATATATTATCTCTTGACATCAAAGTAAGGCATGGTGGAACCACTAAAATGTGTACAGAAGTGCTTTCTACAAAAAGGATACCATTATTCCATTCATTACTGAAATGACAAGTTCTTGTGTGTTTTTTTTTTTGTTTTTGTTTTTGGTTTTTTTTTTTGGTTGTTGTTGTTTTTTGTTGTTTTTTTTTTTTTTTCTGTTCTCTGCTAGCTTTTAAACCTCATCAGAACAAAAGTATGGTTTTGGTGGGAGAGAGAAATTTGATGGTATGTGTAATAACTGTCTTGTTCTGGGCCTGAGATCTGGTTCCAGCTGAGGACAATTACTGTTGAATTACATTAAACATCTTTGACACTGACTTAGTAATAAGCAGCAAGGAAGATTCAGACAATTTAAATAACATTAAGATGGGGAAAGGGGAAAGAGAGAAAAAAAAAAGGAACAAAAATTGTTTATGAAAGCTCATATCAAAAAAGCTGCAAAGTGGATTATTACTTGTGGTTGTAGTATTGGACAGAAAAATCTTAAGTAGGGACTTGTGAAGTATAGTATCAAAGCTACAGCTAGAGTTTAAGCACACACCTTTTGCAGCTTTCAGGAGTCCATCCAATAATATGAAAAAGTTGACATATACTTTTGACTTCACAGACAGCTGTTCAGTGTCTAGTGGCCTTTTTCAAACTTCTCTTTAAAGTCATATTCATACTGAATCACTTTCCAACTTTAAAGTAGTATGTCCAGGGTTATTACAACCTGTCTTCAACATTTGTCCCTGCCCATGTCAAGGGGGTTGGAACTAGATGTTCTTAAGGTCCTTTCCAACCTGAACTATTATATGATTCTATGATTTAATACAGTTTATTACCCTTTCCTGTTGTTAAATCTCAAAAAAGATGCAGGGTTAAAACAGGGATAAAATGTTTTGTCTTTTCTCTAAGATAAAACCCAAAGACGCATTTGGAAGATCAGGCAAGACAACACAAACTGAAGTACCATGTATATGCAGTTATCTGCTCTTTCTATTTTGTATCAAATAAATAGCTCTATTCCCAGCTTCGTAAATGCTTGCCTGAAACCACCACTTCCATGAGGAATGTCCCGAGCACAGACAAGGCTGAGAACAAAACTGAGATGGTACTAGCTGGGGTGGGGAGTGGGGTGGGGTGTGTGGGGGGGGGTGAGGTGGAGAGAGAGAAGGAAAAAAAAAAGAGGTGTTTCTTTGAACAATATATCACCACTAGAATAAAATTTTGGATCCTCTGAGCTTCTTATTGTTCTAGGATGCCTTTTGCTGACTGTTATGTGCCCAGAGAGTTTTGCCTTGTTGTCAGAGGCAGATGAGGTCACAGCTGCATAGGAGTTGCTGACTTCCTGACTCAGTCATCACATAAAAATTCATTATGTTTGCAGATACTAGTATATACCATAGAAGAACTGTTGTAGGAAAACTCAATACCATATCTACTTAAGGACAGAGAATATTTTTATTGTAGTTACATGCTGAACAAAATTTAACTACTATTCCAAAATGAACCATAGAGCTATTTCATTACCTTGGGTTTTACTTGGTTATGAATAGGTTTTTAATCTGCTTTCACTAGATAAAGGCAAGAATATAAAAGGCAGAGAATGAAACTTTTTTTGGCAGAAAAAAAAACACCCCAAACAAAAGTTTGAGTGGTATGCATTATAACATAAGAAGTTATCTTAAGCAAACTTTCTGGGGTATCATTTAATGAGAAATGGAAAGAGATTCTCTAATCTGTCATAGGACCAGCCTGTTGTCAAAGCAGGAAATATTCTCAAGCTCGTTTCAGTTTCTTAGATGTTTTAAAATTATCTTTCAAGTTATATGAGACGTGGGAAACCATATATCCAAGTCTTATTTCAGAAGCATGTTCAACAATGGAAATGCATATATCATATTTACTTCAGCATTAATAACTTTTAAATTCTGATTCATACTGCAGTCTCTTTTGTTCCTTCAGATCATTCCCAAATCTTTTTCAAGATAATCTTAAAAAATAGTTCTGTCTTGGCAAATACGGGTTCCTTAATCTGTTGTGTAGGTGTTTTCCAAAACATGCCTTGAGGTAGTTGATATTCTTTAGACCTGTATTAAGAATGTATCACACATTGTAAATATAACTGAACACTTGGATTACGGTCATCTTAAACTGCATTTTCACATATTCCTTTAGGATAAGGTCCTCAGAGATTTTCAATTATCTATAAAACAAAGCTGTCTGATTGTAATGCTTACTGTAATAGTGGAGTGAAAAAGTATCATGGCTGCTTGTTCAGTGACTGGACATGACCTGGAGAGCTCCATGTTTAGTTAAAAAAATACTTCACTCTTGACTGAAGTTCTTAATGCTTTATAGACTCATTCTGTGAGCTGGCAGCAGTGTAAGTCAGAAGCAGGTGTACTCAAATAAGAATATTTTGGGCTGATACATGTGTGGTATTAATGGGAATTAGACTCCCTTAACAAACAAATATACTTGCAGGCAGAACTGCAGATTTTTTCCCCCTAATCTAATAAATAGCAGCTAAGACCAGTTTCACCTAATGAAGCCTGCTGTTTAAGTATTTTACTAATATACAGAGGAAAGTTCATTTAAACATAGACATACATCAGGCTAACATAAAGTAGTAACTTTAGATCAAAAAGATGCTATAAATAATGCAAGAAGACATAACAAATTTCACTCTCCTTTTGTCTTCTGTTCCCATCCACTGGAATATATTTTATTTATTTTTTTTTTAGTCTCAGTGTAGCTATTGTAGTGCTAACTCCCATATCTTTAGCATACCCAGGAGAGAAAAGTGCACTGGAAATGTCTCCTCATTTGTTACAGAAAGCTCCATATTTTTTTATTTCACAGATATTTTAACAGACCAAAGAGAATTCTGACATTGCAGTGGATGCTTGTTCCTTTTGCAGGTTTAACTTCTGTGAATTAAACCAGATGTTCTGCAAAGAGTTTAATTTTTATTTTGAATCTATCACATCTTTTCAAACAATTCAATAGACTAATTAGGGCACCTAGATGGGACAACAGATGAGCTCAAAGTAAAAAAACACAGAACCAATTTCAAGCTTCTGAATCAGATCAGAGATTTGATTTCTTCTTAGCTTCAAAACAAAATAATGTTTTTTTTCTTTTTTTTTCCCCTCCAAGCCTTGTCAGAAATCTAAAAACACAAAGTGGTTTTATTAAAGGGCTAAATTATTCTGATTTTGAAAAGCATGCATATATCAGCTGTATATTGGAGTAATGGTTATGACCAAAAGGGATTTTTTTTGTAACTAATGCTGATAGTGATGCCAACTTTTCTTGTTTTCTTCTTCGCTCCTCTCCATTTTCTTTCTATTCCCTCAGAAAATAGTAAAATGTAGTGAATATGCAACGCCCCTTTGTTAGGAAGGCATTTTAAAGAAACAACCTAATGTTCCACTATGTAAGCACTGCAGCCACACTTTTAATTAATGCCATTAGTATATAAAAGGCAATGTATTTGTTAATGTAATACTTATATTTAACTTTGTACAGCCAGGAAAAGAAGCAATTACATTTCATTTTATGGATAAAACATAATCCTAATGTGCACAGCATGGAAGACCTTGCCAGTAATAAATATGAATTTGCTATTTGGCATTTGGAGATCACTGTGTCATCAGTTCTAGTTTAAGAAAAGCAATTTCAATACTCACCACTAAAAGTAATATAATCTGAAAGAAATAATTAGTAGTGGGAGAACCAAGAAAGTAGCAAAGGCATAAAAAGCAGCAAAAGAGGTAGGAATTAGGTTTTTACTACTTTTTTCTATTGATAATCAAAACTAAGGAAGACTGTTCCCACAGCTGCTTGGAAAGAACAGTGAAAAGTAAAAATTATTTTCCTCAACATTTTTTAAAAGGGTTTAAAAGTTAAATGTCTTCCCAATAATGGAATATACTGGAGCAAGTAAATTTGAGACAAACCATGGTGAAATTTCTCTATTTCTGTCTTTCTGTAACATTTCTGAACACCTAAACACATTTGGTCTGAGTTTTTCAGTTGAGTTACCAAATCAGGAATACGTTGTTTACACAGCTCTCTTTCATCTTTTCTCTATCTTCATCTAAGCCCATAGACCTTTGGTCACATCTCCCAGACTCATGATTCTCCCGTATCCAAAACTCCTGGGGCTTACAGATTCTATGACTTCAGACATAGCTTGATCAGACAGCTTGCCCTGAAGCAGGGACTCCATTCCTTTTATCAGGGGATTTTGAAATTACTGGTATTTGTTCTGAACTGGGGAGGAGCATCTACTTAACCACAGACATCCACCTTGGATTCTAGTACTGGGACTTTATCCTGTGGGTTTGACTCATTCATTGTCTTTATTTACGCCTGTGAATTTATATTATATTAATTTCCATCTGTGTGTTTGTTTGCACCTGTGCAGAATGTCTATGAAATGCTGCCATTCTGGTTTGGTAGCAGTTTAGTTTTTCATCATGTATATCTACCTGGGGGGTAAGGCTGCAGGGAAGCAGACTTGGTGTATTTAATAAATGAGTTGCCCTAATTTCAGCACTCTCTAATTATTGTCTAAAACTTGAGCTGGCGAAAAATACTTCAGACACACAAGCTTGTTCCTACCAAAATGTTTGGTTGTTACACATTATTAACAAAAAGCAAAACAAAAAATTGCAACACATTATATAGTAAGTATTTGTATTTCCAGATTAACAGAGCAAAACTTCCTTACTGGAAAATGACCTTGCTAAATGTCTGCAATCTCGTCAACAACATAAACAACCAAGTGGGGGATACAGTAGAGGTAGATGAAGAGGATCTCGTTTCAGGAAGACAGTTTCCTTCTGCTCTGGATGGCTTCAGCTTGGAAGCAATGCTGACAGTATATCAACTTCAAAAAGTTTGCCACAGCAGAACCTTTCAGCACTGGGAGGTAAAACAAACCGTCACAAAAGCTGGTGTTAAACTCTTATGCTCAGTTCGTAATGATTTTTTTAAAACCTATACCCATGTGATACCCATCATATTGCTTGAGCTTTTCTTCCATTTTTTATATTCTCTAATACCTTTAATATGCCTCTTATTGAAAGAGATGTGCAGTAACATGTGAAGTTACTGCAGATTTACTGAGGCAGAGTTTCAAAAAACACTTTTAAGGCCCTAAGGCAAACTGGATTCAAAATGTATGGACACATGCCCATGTATACATGTAATTTTACCAGGCAGTCTAGGCTTAGTATTGCTAGGAAACCAGCAAGGAAACTTTATTTTTGCTTCCCCACACCTAAAGGCAACCCTGGAATTCAACATTGTGATTGTATAACGATTGCTGTTCTTAAACAGTGATTGTTTGTAGTCCATTTGTGATACTTAACCTTAGTGCAGTGATCATACGGAGGTGCACTGGGCACTTGTGTTGTTATATATTACACTTAAAGCTGCTTTGCAGAGTGAAAAGAGTTATTCTTATGTCACTACCCACTTTCCATAAACTCAGTTTCTTCAGTTATTGCAGGTTCATGGACAGTCTGGCTGAATCTTGATCCTCTTTTATTTGCTGAATCACAGCTCTGTATTTCCAGGCTTATTCTTAGTCCTTCATACTAGCTCGGGTGGCCCATATGAAAGACTGTGACACCTTTGAGAACCAGAGTTTTCTGAAGATTCTCTTCATCTCTTCATTTATTGCTGAAAAGGAGCTAGCACAGAACTCACTCTATGTACTAACCCATATGACATCATCACAGTTCCTTACTTTGCAGTTACATCACCTCTTCTGGTGGTTGGGAATAATCACTCCTAACAGTGTTGCATCTGAAATTGAAAAAAAATTAAAATATTCCTCTCTCAGCTTAAGCAGTGCAGAGGTTTATAAGACACACTAAATGAAGCAATAGAGCCAGAGGGAGAAGGCTTGGAGAAAGCTTGAAGGTGGCTTGAAATAACTATTTATGTAATGAAGGAAGTTCTTGTGATCTTATTCATCCAGGGCTAACTCCAAAGTCTGTTGAAACCCTGAGAGTCTTTCAATTCATTTAAATAGAATTTAGGTGAGCACTCATTCATCAAGTAATTGAGTGGCAGAGTTTGATTGCTTAGGGAAATACTGGGGTAAGTACAAAAACCATTTCAGTCTAATGCCTTTCAGCCAGGACTGTACTTGACCATGGAAGAGCATGGTGAGAGAATGGATGAACTCTTAACAGATAAAGCAATGTGGAATCTGAGCAAAATACTTAAAAAACTCCAAGTAAAACTCAAAATACAGTTATATATATATATATCAGAAATTCTGATAAAATACTGGCGTTCTTGTGCTTTATTTAATTTCTTATTTTTTACATGTTTTGATTTTTTAGCTGTAGGAAGTTGCAGATCAAAATATTGCTCAAAAGCTGAAAGCAGCTAGCAGTGGGTGTTTCAGGAGGTGTTTGGCCTAAATGAGTGATTATAGAGTGACAATCATTAGGAAGTTTTCAGTCAATTTGACTGAAACTTAACAGGTTTTCTCTTAAGGCAAAACCAATGATCTTGTTTCTTTTAATGGAATTTAATTACCACATCCATAGGATTCGCCTCATCTTTAGTGTGATTGCAGTTTTGTGTCTTAATTTTTTTTTAAACCTGCAACTGCTGTAGTAAAGATTTTTCTTGGTGTCAGGTGTTAAAATAAAATTTTATAAAATTTCTAGGAATTTATAATCTTCATCACCAAAAAAAAGCTGGTAACATTGCGTCTCTTCTTGCATCCTACAGTTACTTCAGCAAGATGCTTTTGATCTAGACAGCTCAAACCAAGACAAGGAAATAATGAAAAGGAAAAATCCCTATATTCTGAAACGGCAGCTACATGTGAACAAAGCTAGAAGACCATACATACTCAAGAGAAGTTCATATTACTGATGCAGCAGAAGAAAAAAATGTATATTTAGTTTCTAGGTTACTGTGTGTTATGGTTATCTTATTTAAATCTAAAATCATACTTGTGTGAAAATATATTATGGAAAATCATCAGGTTGATAACATAACTGTATCTTTTTTGCAATTGTTGTTTTGATTGTGATTTTTCCTACTTGAGATTAATTGGACCAATACATTTGCAAATAAATTAGTTTCTAAGCATGATGTATTGTACAAAACTGAGATTTCAATGTATTTCCAGCAATACTGTAGTCTTTTCCTATTTTATAAAGCACATCAACATAAACTAAGTAAAATTGATACTGTTCATAAACCCTACTGAGAATCTTACAATTTCCTAATGCAACACCTCAAATATATATACAGTTGAAATTTTTTATATAATATAGTAGTCAGAACTATCACAATATTTTATATATTGGCCAGTTGAATTTATTAGGGATTAGGTCGAAGGAAAGAAACAAATGCTATCATCTAACTATTAAATGGCAGTTTCAAAATTCATGTTTTAAATAGTCTGCATGTAAATGAATTTTTATTTTTTGACTCTTTAACTTGCCACTGAATATTCATAATTTAAGAAAACAATACATAAATGAGACTTTAACAAAATATGCTACTGAGAACAAACCCTGCTTTAGAGTCTTGTGTATCACTAACTAAATATAAAAAGAGTTTATTAAATCAGTAAAAGAATTTACAGTGTTTACCTAAAAATGAATGCTCAGGAAAAAAAATAAAGAAAAAAAAAAAAGCTGATTTATGCTCCTGTGCTGTCACTGTTAAGATACTAAACTGGTTATATGGGAAACTTGGGAGAGATATTTAAAAGTGTAATTAAAATTAAAGCATCTTTAACTACTTACAATTACTTTCCCTCCCTCTCTGTATTTGTAATAAAACCAGATAGTGTCAGGGTTTAAAGGCAGTTGTGGAAGCTGATTGAGAGGGAAGCTTCCAGCATGGAAAAATCTGTTTTCAAGCCATGAGGAATCAAATGCCACCTGAAACACATTTTCCATCTCTCTGTCTGTGATGTGTACATAAAACTCAGAATCTCAATGATCCAGGGTCCAGTGTTGAAGAAAACAGCCTGAAAGAACTGGGGGTCACAACAACAGTGAAAACAGAAGGATAGTCTAAGAACCAAAAAGCCTGGATGCTCAAACCAGGAGGCAAAAAATGTCGGACATTGCTTTTGAAAACCTACCTGTTTTCTGTTTGAGGTAGTGTTTCAAAGCAGTGGTGTTCCAACAGATTGTCAGAAAACAAAACAGAACAGCAAAACAAAAACAAAACAACCACTCAGAGAATTTCCACGTCCTCTCACAGGTCAGGTTTTCTGTCAATTATTAAACATATACAGGAATATGCATAGAAAAAACATACCTATACCAGTGGTTATACCAACTCTGTTACATGAGAGAGATGTTGGATTTTTTTTACAGTAAAACTTATTTTTACTATATGAGAGCTAATTATATTTTCTCACTGCAAATGTTATTAATCAGTATATTTCTTCAATAGCCACTAAATGCATGTGCTCACAGGATATAACTGAGCATATACTAATAACTGTAATAATCATTATAACTTGAGTACAGGAAAGCACTTAAACGTATTTGGTCTCAATGTTTTAAATGTTTAATGTGCTTAAGGGTTTTGCTTAAATAAGGTTCTAGTAGATTCATACCCATTATTTTTTTTATGAAACTGTCATAGAATTAGACTGGAGACACAGTATGCTCTCAAGTGACTAAGAAACATCTCTCTTTCCAACAAACCTACTAGCTCCCTAGTCTGGGTATGAACACTTTAAATTCTAAATTACCTGTTGGTCTGAAATAACAAAGCAGAACAGAGTTCATCCCAAAATTCACTGCTAGCAATATATATAAGGAAGAAAGGAAAGAAACTTCAGAGCATGATTTCGTAGGGAACATGGAAGAGTAAGACAAACATAAATGGATTGCCATGATATTTTGCTCTTATGTTCAGTTTAAGAGCATAAGAATTAAAAAAGAAAAATAAAATAGGGTAATGTGGTTGATATCTGATAAAGAATGTTAAAATTTTCAAAAAACAAACCCACCCTTTCATGTTTCGGACGTGATTTAGATATTCAGGGCAATGGCAGAGGACCTCAAATGATGATGGGTAGCCATTCCACCCTCAAATGAGGTTTATACTGTGACTGTGTACTTGTTCCTTGCAGTGCAGAGTTAGCAGACTAGCCAGACAGACTGGCTGAAAATGGCTTAAAATAACCCTTTTGCTTTCAGCACAATGTGAATCCATACAGGGTCAGCTGCTGTGTGTCACTGGAGGGGGTAGGTTGTTCATTTTTCTCTAGCTTCTGATGGAGGTGTTCAGGAAGCTGCCAGAGAATGTCATCCAGAGCGAAAGACTGTCCTAATTAGAGGAGGAAACAATGTCCATAATTGTAACATGGTCAGTAAAGATGGAAAAGCCAAACCTGCTGTTTCAGCTGATTGGTCTTTGGTGAAAAGCAAGCATAGAATCATTAAAATGTTAGAAAACACACTTAAACCATATGATTAAGCCATGTATGCAGAGCTGTTAGAGGGATATTTTGAGGTCTGGGGCATCCTTATTTTCTTGAAAGCCCTTTTCATTTCTAGCTGTGCTTACGTCCTGATGACCTCACTGCTGTGGAATCGCAGCCTTTCTTTAGCCCTCCTTTTTGGATAACAGCAGGAAAAAAAAAAACTACAACCAAACTCAAACCTCCCCAACACCCCCCAACCCCAAACAAGTGAAAAACAGCAGGCTTATACATATTTGTCTCTATTTCACACATTCTTTCTGTATTAATTATTAATGCTGTATTTATAGCAGCAATGGGTGCTGAACAAACTTCAAGCCAGCATAGGCTTTTACAATATGTAAACATTTCTAAATTCAGACAGTGCTTTTATTTTTTTTTTCTTCATTTTCTTCTTTTCTGAAGCTCATAATTGCCTTAAATTTAAAGTGTTGTTTTGAAGACCATTAACTCAGATTGCTACCTTGGCTTAAAGAACTGCCTCTTAATATGAACAATTTTGTTTATAAAGGCAATTACTAAGACATTTGCTGTCTGTCTCTGCAGAGGAACACATTTATCCTACCTATTCCATTGCTGATGTTTCTACGAAGTTCATAGATGAATAATTATACCAATTATTCAGAAACTTTATATTTAATTATTTCTCATACTCCTAAAATATTGGATATTGTCATACAGAGCAATTGCAGAAACCTCTTAGCTATTTGTAATGTAGAATTAAATGTAACTAAGATTTCATTTGATTTTATATATTTTAGTAGCTATCATCCATAATATTACCAATGCCCTATACAAGTCAATCCTAGAGAAATTAATGATTTTATCATTTCTGATGCATATATTTGCTAATTTTTCTTTAAAAGAAACTTAAAAAAATAGTTACTGTTCTCAAGGTTAAGTGTGGTGATAAGTCATCGTCTTTCTTGAGTCTTGCTTGTGGTGTACTACAAAATTCGCTGTTTTCTGTCTTTTCTAGTATGAGTCAAAACTTTTTTCTGTGTTTCAGGTAAGAGTTTAATAGTTTTGGTGTGAACAGAGTGGATGAAATGTGAATTTTGCAGATTGAAAGAGATTTAATTATGGGATGTATGACTGTGGCTATGCCTCATACACTGCTCCTAACACAATGGAGACATGACAATTTGGCCTTGATCTGTATTCCTCTTCTCCAAGATCAGTTATCAATTTGCACTATGCAATATCAAATTGAGCACACAAGCCACCACTATAATACTTGAACACAGGACGGCAGAAAGAGGAGCAGGTTCGTCTGAAATTCTCCAAGATTCTAGGCTGATCATTGAAGTTCTCCACATCTAAATTACTGGGCTGACTGATGGCAGTCATAAAACAAGAGTTGCAGAGAACCTGCAAAATAAAATATACTGATTCCTGTGATGTCATTGTTGTCAGAACTTGTACCTTGCTATCCAGGAAGCAAAGGAAGTAGGGGAAGGGGTTGATCTTCGCAAGGAACGTGGGGAATGAGATTTTCATTGAGACCAAATTCAAACATTCAGAAGTCATGGATAAGGCTGAGATAACCTGCAAACAAATAAGTAAACAGATAAATAAATAAATCCCCCTAACATCTAAATAAAGTAATAAATAGACATAAAATTATTTTTATTTTCTGGAATGCCAGGGAACATGTGAATCCCATTTTTAAGTTTTATTGACAAAAGGAGCTAAACTATATTTGCTTTTATTCATTGCTACTGAAAAATTGACATTCTCATCCAATCTTTTGAATCTAATAGGTGTCATATTAAGACACACACAAAAGCACAATGTGGGTTATCTCATTTTAAAACTTGTCAGATCCAGCATTCTTGGATAGGTCTGACAGATCTGATGATCAGACAGTAGACTAGAAAGAGCTTTGTGGCACCTCATTAGCAGGCAGGCTTTGGCTGGCTGAAGGACACCTATGAGGTGTCAATATGGGGAATGGCATCCTGGGAGCCCAAGAACTCCTTCCAAGGAGTGTCAGCTATTAAGAAACCTGAAGCCTTTGGGAGCTGGTAGTTGCCCAAGTAAGATTTGCTTTTCGCAGGTAGATGACAGTGTACAGCTGTTGGCTCAGGAGACTCCTCACATCTCATACAGAAGGAAAAATAGGACTATACCTAACTGAACTTGAATTAGCAAGGAATAGTATTAGTTTGAGCTCCCAGCAGGACGAGTACCAGTCTGTTTTGTCTCAAAAGTTACAGTGCTGTTTCTTGAAGTTCTGTTGTAGGAATCTTTTTCAGGATGAGTTTCACTTATGCATATATAAGGGCCTTCTCAGATAGTCTATACATTGCTCTCTTAAATGACTGCCAGCAGCCTGAGGACCTCAGTCCAGATGTAGTGTCTAAGCTGCTTAAAAGAATGTCAGCAATAGGTGAATGAAAAAACTGCTGGGTTTGTATATCAGTGAATATGATCTTGAGGATAGACTGGAAATATCTAAAAGACAAGCTTGGCATCATTACTGCAGTTTTTCTGATTCATTATTTGAAAATCCAAGCTGTAGAACAGATTTTTATAATCCCATATTTTTGAATTTACAATTCTTCCCTCTCCACCTTGATCAATATTTAGCTCATCTAAAATAAATGTATGCACCAAAAAAAAAAAAAAAAAACCAACAAAACCCCACAACCCAAAAAAGGAGAACAAATAT